CTGGCAGAGGCACTACTCTCACTAAATGGCAGGACTGTGACCGTCCCTGCTCTTCAGTGACCCTGCCTGACTCAGAGGCAGTATTTGCACGATGTTAATGGCTGTGCCCTTTGCCAACACCTCCCCTGCTCCAGAGCAGCTGATTTGCCTCCACAGGGACTCCCCAGGCACCATTTCCTCCAAACACCCAGACTGATGAACACAATCAAGCCAAGCCCAGAGCAGCTGCTCTCAACCTGTACAGCTCAAATTCAATTCCTGTTCAGGCTTAAAGAAGCACCAAAGAGCCTGAAATGTACCTGTTTTCCCCGAAGTCTATCCACGCATCTAATCAAAGCTGTTGCCTTTCCTTACAAACCTTCTGGCCAGGTCCGTGGGGTTCTTCATTCAGGGTTAAATATTGAGCTTCCCTGCACACACTTCACAAAAAAATGCTCTGTGAAACTTCAGACTAAACTTAAAAAAAAAGCTGGAAAACTAAATCATAAACGTGTGTCAGATGCTCCAGCACCACAAGCTGAAAACAGTAGCAAAACTGTTGGCCTATATATATAATTAATCAACGAAAAACAATAAATAATAAGCAAGTCAGACAAGGCCACTTGCACGCCCAGAGCCCTGAACATTTAATGAGGTTTCCCTTTGAAGTTAATGTGCCTAAAATGGGAAGCTCAGAATGAGCCACAAATATCAATATTGATTTCTTTTGGCACTATCTTGGCCAGAACCCCATGGCATGGAGAGGCCTTTGGGCTGGAGCATTTTCACTGTTTCTGTGAAAAATTAGCAGAATGCTAAATTTCATTTTGAATTTGAAATATGAATCTGAAATGTACTTTGCTCAAGCTTTGTTGAAGAAACAATTTATTATAGCACTTAATCTCCTTGATGAAAGAAAAGGAGATTTTAGCCTGCTAATAAGCTGTGTAGAAGCCATGACTAATTAACCTAATTGTAGCAGCCTGTGACAAAATGTGATTGTACTAAACCCATGCCTCAAGTAACTAGAATTGTCAAAAACTCAAAGGCTAATAAACCAACAGACATTAACAGAACATAAACACTAATAAAGTTGACACCAACCATATTATTTGTAACAAAATCTATACTACAACCATCACAAGAGACAATCTAAAGGGTATTCAGTATCTGAGAATGTAGAATTCACCATCTGAAAATCTCAAAATGCATAAAATTAATGCAGATCATTGGCAAGTGACGCAGCTCTTGGAGCTGTGCAGCTCATGGGGCCAGGCAGGCTGGGGCTGGAGACACCTTTCCATCCTGTCCTGTCAAAGTTCAGCAGAAGGGGAAATGCAGAGAAGCATTTCTGGGCATCACACAGTTTCCATCTCAATCACAAACCCCAAAGACTCAGTGGGGATGAGGAAGCTGAGTGGGAAGGGCTCATCTTGAAGAGAATCACCTGGGAAGGGACTTGAGGTGACAGCCCCCCCTCAATTCCTGCCCAGCTTGGAATAAACCCCCATGTACTCCCCACACAGAATCACAGAATCAAGGAGGTTGGAAAAGACCTCTGAGATCATCCAGTCCAACCCATGACCCAACCCCACCTTGTCACCCAGACCATGGCACTGATGCCACATCCAGGCTCTGCTCAAACACCTCCAGGGATGGGGACTGCACCCCCTCCCTGGGCAGCCCATTCCAAGGGCTGATCCCTTTCTCTGGGAAGAATTTCTTCCCAATGTCCAACCTAAACCTGCCCTGGTGCAGCTCAAGGCTGTGCCCTCTTGTCCTACTGCTGCTTCCTGGGAATAGAGCCCGACCCCCCCCGGCTCCCCCCTCCTGTCAGGGAGTTGCAGAGAGTGAGAAGGTCTCCCCTGAGCCTCCTCCTCTCCAGGCTGAGCCCCCCCAGCTCCCTCAGCTGCTCCTCACAGCACTTGTGCTCCAGACCCTTCCCCAGCCTCGCTGCCCTTCTCTGGACCTGCTCCAGCCCCTCCATGTCCTTCCTGAACTGAGGGCCCAGAGCTGGACACAGCACTCGAGGTGAGGCCTCAGCAGTGCCCAGTCCAGGGGCAGAATCCCTGCCCTGCTCCTGCTGCCACACTGTTCCTGAGCCAGGCCAGAATCCATTGGACTCTTGCCCCCCTGGGCCCCCCTGGCTCCTGTTCAGCTGCTGTCAGTCAGTCCCCCCAGGTCCCTTTCTGTCCCCCCACTCTGTCCCCAGCCTCTGGGGCTGCCGGGGGTTGTTGTGGCCAAAGTGCAGGACCCAGCCCTTGGCCTTGTTGAACCTCACCCTGTTGGATCCTTCCCATCTCTCCAGCCTGGCCAGGTCCCTCTGCAGAGCCCTCCTGCCTTCCATGAAATGACTACCTGATAAATACCCCCATTGTCAGTTTGAGATGGCCCAGGGTGGATGGAGAGCAGGCTGCTGTGGGTATGGGGCTGGGGAACAGCTGATGGAAGGGATGAAGCCCTTGTTCAGTGATAACAGTCTGAGCTCTGAGGAGCAGCTCCCTGCTGGTCCCACAATGGGGATGTGCTCAGGCACTCTGGGCACAGAGGGCCTCTTCTCTGGGTATCACAGAATCATGGAATATTCTGAGCTGGAAGGGACCCACAAGGATCATCCAGTCCAACTCCTGGCCCTGCACAGACACCCCAACAATCCCACCCTGTCCTTGAAAACATTGTCCAAACCCTCCTGGAGCTCTGGCAGCCTTGGGGCTGTGCCCACTGCCCTGGGGAGCCTGGGCAGTGCCCAACAGCCTCTGTGGGAAGAACCTTTTGCTGAGATCCAACCTGACCCTGCCCTGACACAGCTCCAGCCATTGCCTCAGGTCCTGTCACTGGTCACACAGAGCAGAGATGGAGCTGCCCCTCTGGGCAGGAGTGATACAATAAATCCTGAGGAATGAATGACTGGGAATATATGACTATTAATAATTATTTAATGACTATTCCTTCTGGTGTAGATGCCCCTGAGCTGGCACTGGACCAACGTCAGCACAGCAGTGAGGCAGTGGCAGAAATCATGGTGAAGCACAAAGTGAACACAAAAGGCCATTTCACCCTCCCTGAACAGGACTGGCAGCACAGGAGGGGGCACCTCACAAAGAATACTCACTGCAAACCCAGAGGGTGTTTGCTTGGAGAATGTACCACCTGAGGGCAGGAGGCAAAGGCACCCTGGGGCACTACAAGTGTAATAGAGAATCACAGAATCATTAAGGTTAGAAAAGACCTCTAAGATCACCAAGTCCAACCATCATCAACTCAGCACCACCACTAAACCATGTCCTCAGTGCCAAAAAACATATTTGTTTCCTAAGATGCATTAAAGGATCTCCAAAATGAGAGTCAGAGCCTGAAATCTTCAAAATCCATTGTGGAAGGAAGTTCACATTCCAGAGGAAACTCCGAGGACTGAAGTAGAGAGAAGCTTTGCTGTGCAGAACCTCCCAGGCAGTGCAGAAATCCAACCCAGAGGGGTCCAGAGAACTGAAAGGCTCCATTCACCCCCTGTATTCCCAGGCTGAACATAGGCAGGGATAGAGTAGAGTTGAGAAAACCCATGATTTCAAGCAATAATATGGATGTACATCTTCAGTCCACACAGCCCAAAGACACAATATGCTGTTGCAAAGCCTGTATTTCATGGGCTTGATGGCTGAGTCTTCCTGATTATGTGCATTGACCCTAAATGTCCATTTAATTTGTCTTCGAAGAAGGAGCAAAAGTAAAGCTGCTGCTGTCTGAACAAAAGATGATTAAGGAAAGGGTGTAGGATTTTTTTTAATTCCTTCATTATTATGGAAATATGCCTTTTAGAGGCTGAACAGAGCTGGTTCAGTGAGAACTTCCAAGCTTATTTTATGGTTGAAAATGTGATTGTGACATTTAATATGAGGTAGGTCAGACAGAATGAGGCAGAGGCCGTGTCCCCGGTGCCAGTGATGAGACAGGGATGATAACTCCTGGTCAGGGCAGCCAGGAATTGTTCCATGTGGAATCACTATGTTAGAAATATCACCTGTGTTAGAAATATCAACTTTATTTGACTCTTGAGCTTCAGTGTGCAGCCAAACTCTGTGTTACCTGAAGGACAGTGTTTGCCCAGTTAAGCCCAGTCCAGCACAGGCTTGCCTAGAAGGGCATGTGGCACCTTATGCCAGGGCTCCTGCAAGACTCTGGAGAGCTCCAAGAAACAACATAAACAGGTAAAGAATTTCAGTCATGTCTTGGGCCTGGATGCAGATTTTCTGCTTGGTCATCTTGCAGGAACCACATACATCCTCTATAAGGAATGGTGGGAGGGAGAAAAAGGGAAAAAACAATGTCCCATGTGAAAATTTGGGAACTATCCCAATGAAACTGAGATGTCTTCACTCCCTACTTCACAGCACAGAGAAAATATCCCACAAAGGCAGCACAATGTAAATAAAACTTATCCTTAAATCAGCCCAGGTGCCAGACACTGATCAGAAGCCATGATCAAACAAGAGACACAACTTCACCTCCAGCAAGGTGTGAATGAACATGCAAAACTTGGAGAATATTTTAACTGCTTCCAGAAAACAAATCCCACCCTGCTGAATCAGGTCCAAACCCAGCAAAATTCACATCTGTTGATAAACAGGAGCAGAGATGGGATAACTCACGTCTCCTTGGGATGCTCTTCCTCCCCTCTCACTCCAAATCCATGGCAGGTGTTGGACCTGCTTATTGCCACGGCAGTGTTTTCTTGCAGATCTGGGAGCTCTCTCACCCCAGCACAGCTCTGCAGATGGTCTTATCAGCCTTAAAAACTACTGTGGCATCTCCATGTCCTTTACAAACCATAACCACAAACCCCAGAGGGTGTTCTCATTCTAGAGGAGCCCCCCAAGGCAGTACCTGCAGAACTCCCTGTGTCTGTGGCCTTCCTCCTCATGTATGGTCAGAACTTTGTTTACCAAGTGCCACAAGAACTCACCTGAAGGGCAGAAAGGCTTTTAGAGGAGGTAAGGGGTGGTGATTTCCCATGGTTAAGGTACCTTGATTCCTCCCCAGGAATGGTCAGACAGGAACTCTACAGGGCTCGTGACTCCAGGCTGTGCTGGGTATCTCAGCAGGAAATCCAGCTCTGCTGGGTTGATTTCTTTATTCATCAGGAGTATCTGTAATTCCAAACAGACAAGATATCCTTGAGCAGCAATAGAATCCAACAGATTAATTATTCAAACCAGCTACCTGCCAAATGTGTGGCTAAAATGTACTCAGAGCCCCATGCTGGAGAGGTGTGATGGAAATACCATGTAGGTGCTTGGGGTCTCCCCAAAACAGGAACAGGAATAAGGATGGAGATTGGCAACAGAAGAGGAACAAAGCTGGGAAAACTATGTGGCAAGTGCTATGATGCAGGTGGATGGGAGCACCCTGAGGAGCAGTCCCTGCCAGGGTGTGCTGCAGGTCCCTGGGCTGGGATCCACAGCTGGAGAGCAGAGAAATTCCTGAAGAGGAACCAGAGCATCCTTAGGGAATGCCACCAGGGGTTGGCCATCTCTCACTGTCTTGTTCAATTTATAAACCAAGTGGAGACACACTGAGAGTGCTGGGAAAAAACAAACAAACAGCAACAACAGCAAAACCCAAACCAAAATCCCCACCACCCTCATGGCTCCTGCAGCAAGAGAATAAGCAGGTCAATGAGGTCTCAAACACTGAAGAGCACCTGGGACATTCCAATGTTTTTAGTACCAGTGGTGACTTTCAGGAATAAACGGAGTAAGACCACCAGAGCCATGGTTGAGGTCATTCTGGAAAGCCCAACTGGGGCCACTGCTCCAGGTGCAATGTCAGAATTCTGAAATCCCAGACTCCAAAAAAATCCCCTTCAAACACCAGTTCTGGGAGGGGGGAAACCAGTGCTGGAGCAGGGAGTGTGTGGTTTCCTTGCCACAGATCCTGGTTTGTATCCCAATGATGTCAAAAGGGCAGTGGCACCTAAGGTGTTCCTGGCACCTCTCCTGCCACTGAGGGCACGAGGGACTCAGTTCAAGAACCAACTGGTTTTTTCTATGGGAGCATCTGTGCCCATCACCCAAGTGCCTCCACACACAGACACTGGGGCTGCAACTTTTTCTGACACATAAAGCGACCCATTAATTATTTTCAGTGTCTATTGTAGTTACAAGCACCATGTGTGCTATTGAAACACTTTATTTAGAGATATATGCTAAAAAATGTACATGTCCCGTGGGTCAGAATTATGGCTGACATTGCAAAATATAACCTGACTTTTTACACACAATTTATTAACAAAATATCCTGTTAGGGTCCATTTTTTTTCCATATACACTTTCCCTTTTACATAAAGTATTTTGTTATGTAGAATTAAAAGAAGTCTTGGCCATCCCTGGATCAAGGTTAACCAGCCCTGCAGTGTTTCAGCAGCTGGATTTTGGTTCAGATCTGCATTCTTGAAGGTATTTTCCAAACTTACTTAGTCTGTGATTCCATATGTCAGGGCATTTCCACAGTCATTCACTGCACAAACTTCATATCAACTTCACAACATCATTTCAATCACTATTTATTGATTAGATATACAAACGTCTCCTTGCTCAGATCATGGACTAAAAATTATACAAAATACAGGGCATGGTAGAGCAGCTGTGTAGGAAGAATTTCTTCGGGATAAAAGCAATACACCCTTCTAGGCCAGTTTGCTTTGCCCTGTTTTCCAGGTCCTGCCAGCAGGTATTACTGTCTCAAACAACCTTTGCCAACACAATTCAAATCCAACTCAGCATCTGTGCCTGTTATTGGTGAGAGTCAGTCCTATGAGGAGCAGCTGAGGGAGCTGGAGGGGCTCAGCCTGGAGAGGAGGAGGCTCAGAGGAGACCTTCTCACTCTCTACAAATCCCTGACAGGAGGGGGGAGCTGGGGGGGGGGTCGGGCTCTGCTCCCAGGGAACAAGGGACAGAAGGAGAGGAAACAGCCTCAAGCTGTGCCAGGGGAGGGTCAGGAGGAATTTCTCCCTGGAAAGGGTGGTCAGGCCTTGGCAGGGGCTGCCCAGGGAGGTTTGGAGTCCCCACCCCTGGAGGTGTCCCAGGAAGGCCTGGCCGTGGCACTCAGTGCTCTGGGTTGGGGGACAAGGTGGGGATTGGGCACAGGGGGGACTCCATGGGCTGGGAGGGCTTTTCCAACCTCAGAGATTGTGGGATTCTGAACCTTGCTCACAGAGTGCCACTCCTGGTGGTGTTACCTGGAAGGTGAGCTGGGCAGTGTAGGTCAGCCTGTCCCCCTCGAACAGCCCCCGGGCCGTGCACTGGCACACGCAGAAGGTGATGCTGTCGCTGAGGCTCCTCACGCGCTCCGTGAGCCCCTCGGCAGGAGCTGCCCTCTCCATGGCTCTCTGGAACACCTTCTGGAATGCCTGGGGGGGACACACAGTGGGAGATGTGACTCTGAGATCCCCTTTGCATGGTACCCCCTGAACTGCCACAGTGAGAGATGCCAATCTCTAGGGCCACCTGGAACATCTAGAGACCAGCCCCTGCCTCTGCCTGTAGCTTTTCTTCAGGAACACAGAGTCTGGCAGTGGTGACATCCCCTGTGACACTGAGCTCTCCGGAGCCCAAGGGAGCAGCACAGAGACAGGCAGAGGGAACTCAGACAGTGGGAATACAAGAAAGGATCTCTTACCAATGTGCTCCCACAGGGAGGACATGGGACACTTGCTCTGCAAATGTTGAGCCAGCAGAGAGTGGAGATCCCAGAGGACACATGGAATCACATACTGGTTTGGGTTAAAAGGGACCTAAAAGCTTATCCAGTCCCACCCCTTGCCATGGGCAGGGACACCTTCCACCAGCCCAGGTTGCTCCAAGCCCCATCCAACCTGGCCTTGGACACTTCCAGGGATGGGGCAGCCACAGCTTCTCTGGGCAACCTGTGCCAGGGCCCCACCACCCTCACAGGGAAGGACTTCTTCCCAATATCCCACCTGAATCTGCCCTCTGGCAGCGGGAAGCCATTTCCACTGGTCCTGTCCCTCCATCCCTTGTCCCCAGTCCCTCTCCAGCTCTCTTGGAGCCCCTTTGGGCACTGGAAGGGGCTCTAAGGTCTCTGTGGAGCCTTCTCTTCTCCAGCTGAACACCCCCAGCTCTCCCAGCCTGGCTCCAGAGCAGAGGGGCTCCAGCCCCATGATCATCTCTGTGACCTCCTCTGGACCTGCTCTAACAGATCCACATCTTTGCTGTGCTAGGGACCCCACAGCTGGACACAGTATTCCATGTGGGGTGTCACAACAGTGGAGCAGAGGAGGAGAACACAACTCCCACTGTGCAAATGTTTCAACTCAGAGAACAGCAATTGCTCTAAATAATAACAATTTCAAGAAGTCTCATGAGCACTTTACTGTCTGGATCCAGCCAAGGACTGGCTGAGAAGAGCAGGGAGCAGCACGGGTGGGATGGAGCAGCCAGTGAATTCCCCTGGGGATGGGGACCTGTATCGAGAACAACCCTCTTATATAAGAGAATAAAGATTCTTGCAACAACATTTCTGATCTGAATGAGAAAAGACATAAAACTTTCAGAGCCACCCGAAGAAAAAACATTTGCAAATTATCAAATGCAACTGGAAAAAGAAAATGGAAAAGAAAATAAAACCCAAGTCCTGCTTAGCAATGCAAAGGCTCTGTAAGCTGGGCCCAGCTAAAGGAAATAACCATGGATGGCAGAGACTGGCCAAGGCCTGACTGTGTTGGCAGCATTATTTTTGGGGTTCTACAAAGGAAAAATCATGCCTCAACAAATTAAAGTAACATTGATATCTAATGCATTATTAATAATTGCAGAATGCATTTTCCTGCTTAACATTTCTTTAAATTCTGTTCAAACATGCTGCAGAGCAGCACATAAATCTTTGTGTTCTAATTTATAATGGGTTCCCAGCTGTGTGGCAAGTATTCTGAAATCATTTCTGTGCATCTTTACACAATGTTTTATGATCTGTCATCAAAATTTATTAGATAAAAACATTTCACCCAATAATTTTTCATGTATTTAGACACATTGCTAATATTAACTGGAAAACATAAAACAAACTAACTCTGGAAGATGCAGATTAAAGGTGAAGCCTCAGGAACCCCTGTATCTATTATGGGTGTGTAGGGAATGAATCTTTCAAAAGGCAGAAAAGATATTCTGTACATTTTTCTGATAAAATTACTCCAACAAATGAGTCGTGGATATAAAAAAGAAAAGCTTCTTTGAGGATCAGGCTCAACACATTGTAGTCTCTCCTCAATTCCTTTTTCCAGGTCACCTGTCAAGGTAAGAAATAATTTGGAAGAAGTCCTAGGCTAGGACTCCAACTTATTTAACCCTCCAGCCTCCAAAGTACCTTTCTTGTGATAAAAAAAGGTCTTCCATTTATTAAAGCGTTAAACTGGAACTCTTTCTAGTTAAACTGGAACTCTTTCTAGATGGTTGGAGCAACCTGGGCTAGTGGAAGGTGTCCCTGCCCATAGCAGGGGGTTGGACTGGATGAGCTTTAAGGTCCCTTCCAACCCAAATCAGTCTGTGATTCTGTGAACCTCACTGAGAGAGAGCAGCTCTGAGGGCACAGCACCTTCAGGGAGAACTGGTACATGGGGTGGATGTTGTGGAGCTCGTTCATGGTGAAGTAGAGCAGAGAGGCCCTCGCAGCCACAGGCCTGTAGTGCTCCCTGGCCTCGTTAATCTTTGCTTCTGTCACCTTGAAGTCCTGCACCTGTAGGGAAACACAGGACAGGATTCATGTGAGAACATCCCTGTGCAGTGAGTGCAGCCCAGGGAAGGTGGACATGGGCCACAAAGTCCTCAGGGCAGCAGTGGGCAACCCACACATGAGCACCACAGGGAGCAGCCCCTGCCCCCAAGACACGGTGCAGCCAGGCTTGAGCTGCCCCTCCAGCATCCCCCCACTCTGGAACCTTCCCATTTAACTGCATTTCCCATTCAGTTGCCCAATCCTCCATTTTTCTGAGTCCCCTCCAGACTCCTCCCTGGATTCCCTGCTCTCCACTGACTGGAACTGTTTTTCTCAACAATGAGTTTCTCCTGCTAATTGCAGGTCATTAATAGCACAGGGCTGGACAGCCCCAGTTCTCCTCTCAGGCAGCTTCCCCAGGGCTGGGAGGTGTTCATTTATCCCAGCTCTTTGCTGCCTTTCCTCAGCAGCACTGAACACACCCCACCTTGCTGCTCAGGGCTGCAGCTGCTGTGATGGACATGTGGAAATCGTTTTTGGCAGAAACACCAGCCCATCATCGTCTCAGTTTGTTCTTTCATTCCACTTCAGCAGAACAAAGTGACATCCTCGAGCCCCTCAGGGGTTATTTCAGGCTCTGTTTGTGCACAGACATGTCTTGTACATGGCCAGGAGCTGCTGAGCCAGAGCTGATCCAGCCAGCTCAGCAAACCGTGCTGTGGGATCATAAAACCATGGAATGGTTTGGGTTGGAAGGGACCTTAAAGCCCATCCCCCATGGGAAGGGACATCTTCCACCAGACCAGGTTGATCCAAGTCCTGTCCAACCTGGCCTTGGACACTTCCAGGGATGGGGCAGCCACTCTGGGTAACCTGTGCCAGGACCTCCCCACCCTCACAGGGAAGGATTTCTTCCTAATCTCCAACCTAAGCCTACTCATTTTCAGGTTAAAGCCATTCCCCCTTGTCCTGTCACAGCAGAAGGTCCCTCTCTGTCCCTCTCGTTGGCTTCCTGTGGCAGAGCAGGGCTCAGCAGGGCATCACACAGCCCCTGAAACACAGGCCATGGGGTCCTCTGGGCTGTTCCTGAGCTGGTGGGAGCACATCTGGCTGGGGCACCAACCCTTCCCAAGGCAGCAGACTGAGCCTTAATCTGCTGTGTGCAAACATCACCACACCTCAGTACCCCACAGCATCTGGGGGCTGAGCCTTTTTGCATGTGCCCATGAGCAGAGCTGGGCTGATTCATAATTCTAGTCAAATAAAAGCCAGGGGTGGGGCAGGCAATTGCTTTCCATAGACAGATCAGAGAGGAACTTCCATAGGAAGGAAAATGCTGCATGAACATTTTTTTTTGGTATACAAACCAAAAACAGAGCAGCAAACCTCTGACAGGGCTCTGCAAACTACAAAACTCAACCCTGTTGGTACAGAGCTCACACTGACCATCTGTATAACCACAGCTGGTTTAGGAGCTGGAGCCCTTCAAGAACACCCAATTCAAGAGGGAGATGCCAAGCTGGCAGGTCAAAACATCTCTTCAACATCTCCTTTGGGGGTTCAAGCAAACCCTCCTCAGACAGTAAAATACATCTGATGCACCACAAATGCCTCCCAGAAATAATTCTGATTTTTAAGGTGGAGGGAGTATCTCTCAGTTTCTTGGTCACTGAGGCTCCAACACAGGGAAGTGAAAGGCAGTTCCAACCCAACCCCATCACGTGGGTGACTCACCCCCAGCCAGTGGGCAGGGGGAGGGCAAGTGTGGGCTGTGAAGATGGGAGGTGGTGGAGTCCCCACCCCTGGACATGTCTAAGGAACAACTGACCATGACACTCAGTGCTCTGGGCTGGGTGACAAGGTGGGCATCAGGCACAGGGGGGACTCGGTCGTCTTTTCCAGCCTAAATGATTCTGTGACTGTGGCTGCAGAGGGAAGCAGCTGAATGGCCATACCAGAGTCCTGGCACAATCCTGGCGTGAGAACCACAATCCCCAAGTTCCGTCAGTGGCAGGAAAAACCACAGTGCATCTAGCTGAGCCCAGCCAGCCAGCCAGGGGAACTGGGCAGTGCTGACACTCACAGCTCATACCAACACTGATTTATACTCTAAGGAATGGAAAGGTATGAAATGCCCAAGTTCCTGCAGATTTACTTGAGATCACAAACTGACCAGATGCCAGTCCCTGATCAGCACTAAAATCCAGCTTAGCTGAGGCAGTGTGATGTACTCAGGATTAGGCTGACACTGTTTAAAGCTGCCTTGATACAGTGTGTAAATTTTATTGTCTTTACATCAGACACTGATGTTTTCACTTGGTCTTAAATAGGTCATTTAACACACAAAAGCTGCAAAGCACCAAATGGTCTGAAGCTCTCCAGAGTGGAGAGCACTGTAGTTTATACCCATTTCTCTTCTCTGCTGAGCAGAAGGAGCAGAGATGGGCAGAGCAGAGGTGACATTCCACCCAGAAATCCTCAAAGATAACATCACACACACACTTTTCTCCAGGCTATCACTGTCTTTGTACCTTCTCCTGGATTTCTGCAGCTGTCTGTTTAGTGATCTCCAAGTTCTCCACCAAGGCTGTGTCTCCCAGGAAATTCCCAGATGCTGATGACAGCCGAGAGAGCAAGTTGTCCTCTAATGTTTTCAAGGTGATCTTGAATCCATTCTGCTGCTTTGTGAGATCTGACTGCAAATGAGAAATTCAGAAAGTTTTAGCCACCAAACATGTGGTAAAGGAAGGATTAACCAACTTCCCATGGGAACAGGCTTCTCACTGACAACTGACATAGTCCAGTAGTGCTTATTCCTGCTCTCTGCAACTCCTGGGAGTGGGTGGAGTTCTAGGATCACTCCGTATCCAACATGCCATCAACTCAGAGAAACCTTGAACAGCACAGAAAGCACTAGGAAAGCTGAGCCCTTTCACTAGGAATGTATGAAAATGCTGGGAATGAACCAGGAACCTTTATCCCCATCTCAAACATATTTCCTGTATCTTTGTTCTTGATTCAAGTCAGACTGGACAGTCCCTCTGCTCCTCCCCCCTCCTGATGAACTTGCCCCTCCACACCTCACCAGTCACACCAGCAATGGGGCCACAGGGATAAAACCTGGTGGCAAATCCAGCAGCAAAGTCCCTCAGGCCCCGAGGAGAACATGAGATGCACCTCAGGCTCAGGACTGAGGGCAAAGCTGAGGCCTCATCTACTGCTGCTCCTGTTTGTATCCTGGCCTTGAAGTCCCACAGGGACCAGTGGCTTACTGGGCTAAAGCTGTACATGCACAAAGTCCTCCTGCCAAAGGATTTGCAAACTCAGTACAAGAAGGCCAAGCAGATACAGCCCAGTACAACCATCCTGCCTCAGGGGCACATTTCTGAATCACAGAGTAAATCCTTCCCATTTCTCTGGTCCCATCTCCCTCTCCCCTGTAGAAGCACCATCATTAATGCTGTTCATGGTGGAAACAAAGACTCTCATCCATCTCCTTTCTGAACTGCTCCTCCAGAACAGGCTTTATCCCATGAAAAGTGATTGCCTTATTCTATGTGTTGGCTCAGAGAAACTGCATCTCTCCTGGATTTCAGGTATATTATGTTATTCCACAATATGGCTCTATCGTGAATAGCTATTTTTAGAGTTACCACAGAAAACATCCTGTTGGAAGGCTGTGCCTCTCACTGGGATGCTGCTGAAGAGCTAAGCCTGGTGACTATTCTCTGCATCAATGAAGTCAGTCACTACCACCCTGCTACATAAAGCACTACTGGGTGACAGTTTAAATCCTCAGACTGTGGTTAAGTGGTACAACCAAGAAATTCAAGTAACTTTAAGTGTGTTTTATAGCCCTGCAACCATCCAACTCTGTAGTGCAGCAGACGTGAGACACGTGGAATTGAAACAAGTTCTGAGCAACTGGCTCGTGACAGATTCAGTGTCATAAACCAAGTAATCCAAGGCTCCAAAGACAGTTTTGGGAAAACATGTCCCCCTGTAGGGTCTGGAATGAGAAATGTGACCCTTTGCCTCTCCCAGCCCCACCATGCAGGATGGAGCCTGCTCTGCTGGCAGAGGTTTCCCAGCAGATGAACTGACTCTGTCATTAATAACTCATCTCTCAACATTTGGGCTGAAGTTTCCTGTACTTGCTGTGCACACACTCATTCCATGTTCATGGCAATCCAGGTGCTCAGCAGGGTGGGCACTGAAGTGTGTCGGCTGTTGGTATTTCAGCTGGAAAAGGCTGTTTTGAAGACTTGTTCCATAGGCTTTCCACCCAGGAATTGGCCTGTGGTGGTAAATATTTTACAAGTCTTGAACCAGAAAAAGAACAGAGCAAATTTTGTGTGTTTCTGCCATTCAAGCATAGCAAGCCTTGAAAAATGACATCTGCAAGCTATTATTCAACCCCTTGGATTATGAGCCTGGAGTTATTAATGAGGAGGGGGGTGGATTTTTGCTCCAATAGCTTGTAATCCCCACCCAATTCTGGAAGCACCCTCAGAAGTGCAGACAGCTCTGGGTCCCCCCAGCACCTGCAGCTTTATCCTGCCATGGTTTGAAGCAGCAACAAGGTCGTGGTTCCTCATTTCTGCAGTGGAGTTCATTATCAGTTATTTCACAGTGCTACTTCTGAGAAATAGGTTATTCCCAGAGCCTTCCCCTGCCAACCCCTTCCAAGCTCAGCCAGAGCAGCCACCTTTCCTTTTCCTTTCTGTTGGTTTTGTTGTTTTATTTTACCATCACAAACCAGAGGGGAAAAATTCCCTGTGTTTTCATAGAATCACAGAATGGTTTGGGTGGGAAAGGACCTTAAAGACCATCGAGTTCCACCCCCTGCCATGGGCAGGGACACCTTCCACCAGCCCAGGTTGCTCCAAGCCCCATCCAACCTGGCCTTGGACACTTCCAGGGATGGGGCAGCCACAGCTTCTCTGGGCAACCTGTGCCAGGGCCTCCCACCCTCACAGGGAAGAATTCCCTCCTGATATCTAATCCTGCAGAGCACCTGAGGAAGAATCCCAACACTGTCCATCACAGCCTGGCTGTGCAGGGATTTCACATGCCCCGTAACCAAACGATGAAGTCTGGAGTTGATGGGAGACACCTGAAACCAGCCCTGGTGACACAACTGGAGCAGGGCAGTGCCACCAGCACATGGAGCAGAGTCATCCCCACCAAAGGGAATTGCAGATATGACCAGATAAAGGCCAGAGGGTTTGGACTGACCTGAGAGGGAAGGTCTTGGGATTTGGCTTTGCTTGCCTTGGCCTAAACTGGTTTGAGCTTCTCTGAGCTGTGACCATCTCGCAGTCAGGTCCTGCTGCCTCACCCTGGGCCAGCCTGGTTCTAATGTCCAGTGAGAGCATGGAGTTGTCCTGGATAGACTGATCTGTCCCCAGAACCACCACAGGGCAGAGTCTCAGGCTTTGCCACAGGAGTGCCACCCTGGGAAGATGGCAGAGCTTCAAAGTAAGGAGGGACAGAAAGATGGATAACTGGGAATCAATGAAGACAGAGATTATTGGATATAGGCTGTGCTGAGGAAACATTTTAAAAAGGTTGATGTTATTGGAATTGGATCAATAATAGCTGTTTGATGGATTTGGATCAGGTTATTAACAAAAAATCCTGGGCTCCACATATAAGGTGTGCTCTGAGATCAGTAACTGTTGTGCAGTGCTGTAGGAATCACTTCCATCTGCCTTTGAGCCAGAGCCTCAAACCTTCCCAGGACACTAACCTCTGTCCTTTTAGTCCCAGGGTGGAGAGGATGGAGTAATACACACCTAGAGAGGTGACCTCTCCTTTGGGGAACCCAAACATCCCAATCTGAGCCTCCAAGGAGCTCCCCAGTGATCAGATCCAGCCCTGGGGCAGAAGGTGCTGAGCCCCTGCCCAGTCCACCCCCAGGTCAGGGCCAGTGCCAGTGCCAGTCCCTCCCATGTCCAGGAGATACAGCTCTGCCTTTAGCCCAGCAGGGAAGAGATTTGTCTGACTGACTGTTCACCATCCAGCAGAACATCTGGAACATCTGGAACACCAGGCTGCCTTTCTCCTCCCTGATCCTGACCTCCCTGGGGCAGCAGGGCTGGAGCAGGATGGGAGCAGATGAGGGAGAGGAGAGATGGTGAACTCTGGTGTTATCTTGTTGTGGGGATAGAGAGAAATAGATCTTAGATATTCTTAAATATAAGGAAAATTCCATCCCACACCAACTGTGTCAGCCCAGCACAGAGCCCTCAGACCAAGGGCTTTGTGTCCTTCGTGTCCCCAGAGAGACAGTCATGGCTCACACATTAAATCTGTTTATTATGTGTTTTTGAAGCCATCTTTTGGCTCATTAGCACATGAGCCTGGTTCAAACTCAATGCATCATTAAGGCTGCCCAGGTAAAGCACTTCAGAATCTCATTAAATGGAAAGATTATTACAAAACCGGCCTGGCCTGACTGAACATGTGCAGTAAATTTATTCCCACTCTCAGAAAATATTTAGTATTATACATGTTTGTTAGATGGTTATATGTGTCATTAGAACAGGGGATTTTCTTTATAAAATTATCTTGAAATTGAAGCCATACTTATTAAAAGAGAGAGAAAGACTATTTTGGCCTGTTATAAAGAAGTGGGAGGAAGAATCAGGAAAGGAAAATGTCGTTACCAACCTCATAATATTTACACAGAGAATCCTAAACCATAAATGCTGAAAACTGAGATTAATCCTGCCTCCAAAATTAAATCTGTGAAGTCCAGAAAAACCTGATATAACAAGAGTCTCAGTTTCCAGTCACAGGAGGAGAAGGAAAATAAAGTGACTCGTATCCAAATTTTGGGAGGAAAAACTTGAAATCGCAATACAAATTTTGCCAAAATACCTAGAAAACAAAAGAGCGAAGGAAAAAAATCTTCAACTCGAGGGAAATCTCCTGATTTTATGATGAGTTTAGTAATCTCGGTAACCTTCCAGGTGAAATGTTGTTTTCTTTGCATTACAATAACAATAACAATGATGATGAAGATTATAATAACAACAACAACAATAATAATAAGAAGGAGAAGCAGCAGCAGAAGAAGAAGTGGAAGAATCAGAATCAGAAGCAGCAGCAGCAGCAGCAGCAGAATCAGAATAAGGAGATAATAATAACAATAGCAATAATAATAATAATAATAATAATAATAATAATAATAATAATAATAAT